ATACGATAACATTTTCAAAATATTTTGATTTATTTTGAACTGTTTAGGGACATTTTCATTTTTCATTTTATTTTAGTTTTTTTTTTAGAAATATCAATAAAATTTTATTTGTTGGTTGCGAAAGCTTGAAAATTTAATAGAAGGCTCCTAACATGTTGTTTCAAAGGCAGATGAAAAATATTAAAAATCCTTAGTCACAATTTTTTTTTATAAGCATTTAAAGTTCAAAAATTTACAAAATATGGAAAAATCACGAAAATTAGCAAATTATTTTGAGTTAAGAATTCGTAAAAATTTTTCTTTTTAAATCTAAGATTTGAAAATCTAATACAAGATTCCTTATAAGATTATCTACCTTTATCAATAAAAAAATCTCTACCGGACAGTCAAGTTAAATTTTTATGAGCGTTTGAAATTAAAATTTTTACAACATTGGATATTCACTCGATTTCTCATGTAGCGATTTCCTTATTTTGTTGTAATTCAAAAACGAATAACTTTAGATACATGAAAATTTCACTGAATATTTATATTAGCATTTCCTATACACCATACAATTTTGAAAATATTTTTACTCTTTTTGAGCTGTTTATGGACATTTACATCTTTCAATTTTTTTTAGTTTTTTTTCTATAAATATCAATAAAATTTTATCTATTGGGCCAAAAAGTGTAAAAAATTAATACAAGTCTCCTGATATATTGTTACAATATCAGTTGAAAAATATTAAAAATACATAGGCACAGTTTTTTTTTATAAGCATTTAAAGATCGAATTTTGACAAAATGTATCAAAATCTCGAAAATAATCAATCGTTGGAATTAAAATATTATAAAATGTTCAGTTTTTATAACTAAGAGTTGAAAATTTAAAACAAAGATTCTCTTAAATAATTCATACTGTAACCAAAAAATCTAAAAAATATATAAACACACTTATTTTTTACAGACATTTTAATTTCAAATTTGGACGAAATTACATATTAAAAAACCTAGAATAACTATTTTAGTTATTTTGTTGTGATTGAATAATATTATTCGTGGGTACTTGAAACTTCTAAAGTGTACTATTATATATCTATGATAGTATCACGGTTTTTGTTGATGTATAACGCGTTATAAGTATCTAATGGATATTGTGATATGATTAATTTGGAATTTATTATAGGTACCTATTATAGGTCAATTTTTTGTTTAATACCATAGATATGTATATAATATGCCTTATACATAGACTGACATACCATCACCGCTCAGAATCGTTTTTCTTATACAATGATATTATATCATTGAATTCAAATTTAATACCATCCATTATACAGTGACCCACTTGTAACCTACTGTACAGCAGAGCGACACCCACTTGCCCACCTTTTTGGCTATGATTCCTATACACATATAATAATATTAAAACAATTACCCACATAATAATAATAATAAATTAATACTATTCATACATTATAAATACTGAAAAATAATTCATAATGAAATATTTTATTTATTTTATTATTGTGCCTATACACCTTTAATATACAAATTATTTCAATTTTTAATTTACTCATAGCTAATACGATATACCAAAATATAAAAATGTGAAATGTGAAATATAAGTTTTGGTAGTATTTATTTAATTTTAATTTGAAAGCGTTGTTGTAAAAAACTCAAAATTTCAATTAAATTCTAATTCATGCCATAATAATATTATAAAATTAAAATTAATTAATTAAACTCACTGTAGGTACTTTTTAAATAATGTACCTGGACTTTTGGTTGTTATCTTTTTGTGAAGCTCTCGTATATAATTGCCACCTGTATTAAATGATACTATAGCAGTACAGCAGTATATATTCTAGTGGTGTACGACTGTTTTTGAGAAAAATTAATTCGTTTACCGCCTATGTGCTTATTAATGACACTATTAAACTGTTCGCAGATGTTGTTATCAACATCAAGTAATAAACTTTTTGCATTATCAGCAACACGTCTAAGTGCAGTTGTAATTTCTTTCATCAAACCACTTTGCATTACTTCGTCGATCAAATTCAGTTCGTATAACTTTCTTCCAGTGCAAAAATATCGGGCACAATTAAAGTGTTTGCCAAATATATGGTATGGACTATTTAAAATATCCTTTCGCAAATTATATTCAATTTATAATATGTACCACTTTACCTGGTTGTGGCTTAGATTGTCTACATTGAATGATTTCTGTTAATTGTTATAAATGGTTTTTTGAGTACCTACCTATTTCTTTTTTTTATCATACCCAAATTGTTCGATAATTCAAGTAATACGGCCTATTTAAATAGTTTACAGCAAAACTACCTATTATAAAAGTTTTAGAGAAGAATTTTTTCAACAATTGAAATAAGCTCGATTTTTTATATTTTTATTAATAAGTTAAATAATTAATCGATAAAAAGTAAAAAAAAAAAATGTTAATTTACCATGCGATATTGGACGATTGGAATACGATATCAAAAATCGGATTTATTACGATTGTTAAAAAAATTCTCCTCTACCACTTTTATAATAGGTATTTTTACTGTAAACCTCTTCAATAAGCCGTATTAATTGAAGAACAAAAGTAGTTTTTATTTGTATAAAATTCGGATAAGAAGAGTTTGGCCTAGTGAACAAAATATGGTTTCGTAATTCAAGTAATACGGCTTATTGAAGCAGTTAACAGTAAAAATACCTATTATAAAAGTTGGAGAGAAGAATTTTTTTAATAATCGAAATAAGCCCGATTTTTTATATTTTTATTAATGAGTTAAATAATTAATCGATAAAAAGTAAAAAAAAAAAAAATTGTTAATTTATCATGCGATATTGGACGATTGGAATACGATATCAAAAATCGGATTCCTTACGATTGTTAAAAAAATTCTCCTCTACAATTTTTATAATAGGTATTTTTATTGCAAACCGCTTCAATAAGCCGTATTACACTATTACCTACTTGAAGAACAAAAGTATAGTTTGTATAAAATTCGGATACGAATACAAAATATAAAATCGAACCAAATTAAATATTATTTGTCACAATTAATATAATAATCATTTTCTTATCTGGTTATTTATAAACTATGCACGGGCGGTCGGCTGCGATAACCTGTTTTGACCCCGGTGCGGTACCGCCGTTAATGCGCGCGGGGTGGTGGTATGCACAGCTAGTATCGAACGCTGCCACTGACTACGGGCGCAGCACTTGCCGAGCGTAATTTTCTGCAGTTTTCTTATAAAACATACTTTGCGTGTTCCAATAATATGGGTTACTGAGTGGCTTAATCGTAAAAACACCTATGAACAAAATTAAAGATAATAATATTTTCAAGGGCCCCACGTAGGTTTTTTTCTTTGTTCCAAATATTAAGCTCAGTACATCGTTTAAAAATAATGATTTTTTCAACATGTTAAAATGACAGTAACTTTTCAAAAAATTAATTTTTTGAAAAAAGGCTACGTGGGGCCCTCGAAAATATTATTATCTTTAATTTTGTTAATAGGTGTTTATGTCCTAAAACCACTCTGGAGTGCAAAATTTGGAATCTAAGCGAGCATGTTTTTGGTATTGAAAACGCCGGTACTACGTCCTCTTAACTTCCCAATATTTTACCAAACTTTCAAATAATTGATAAAAAAAAACTATATTCATTTTCAATACCAACAAAACAATAATGTGTTGAAAGCAAGATACCTGTGTTTTCCTCTGTCAAATCAAAATTAAGAAAACAACGGTTTTCATAAATCGTTTATAAGTACAACTTGTTTACTTTTTCAGGTATTAGTTGGGGTAATTGGATGTGATTAACTCATTGAAGATTTTTTTCAAGATCTGATTATATATTATAGACAAAGGCATGTACAACATATTGTATATAGACCTGTTGCCAATGACAATATACGTATAAATATGCTAATATTTACTCATGCATACCCATGCGGCCATACTTAAGTTATTTTTTTACGATAACAAATTGTGATTACAGTTTAAAATTACAAAATCAAAATGATTTATTTTTATAAAATTACAAGTAAATTAACATAACATTATAAACTATAAGCAAATAATAAATAAATAATAAATATTTTTTTAGTGGTAAGAATCAGTGTTTAGAGATCATAATATAAATATAAAAAATTGTCATTAATAAAGCTAATAAGTATTAAGACTTGATACATACTATTTTGGTATACATTTTAATCTAGTTTATATAAAAATTAAATTAAAAAGTGAACATAGGTTAACCTAACGTATTTTAAATTAAGATAACAATTTAAAAAAATATTGATTTAAATTCACATATTATCATTGTACAATAATTAACAGTTAATAATTGCCTGAATTAAATCAAATAGATAACTCTTAAAACTAACTTATGTAAAATTGAACCCATTTGCAACATAGAACATTATACAAATAGTGACTAGTTAAAAAAATAGTGGTAGGGGAGGAGGAGGGGGAGCGGGTAGAAATGAAAAAAAACATTTCCAAAAGTCTAAATTATCAAAAAATTGAACACATTTGCAACATAGAACATAATACAAATAGTGACTAGTTAATACTAGGGATAGGGGAGGAGGAGGAGTGAGTAGAAATTAAAAAAACTATTTACAAAAGTCTAAATTATTAGACCACTATAAATTAGTATACATTCTCCAAGTACACCTTGTGAGTACTTTAATTAATAAAGTATTATTATTGCTCGTAAATGTTAAAAACGTTAAAAAATTACCAATTAGTTTGGTAATTAACAAGCTTTTAATGTCAAGTTGATTTTTGAAAAAACAGAGTAGCATTCATTTTTAAATTCAATGTCAAATATGAAATAATATTAATAATGGAACAAATTATGATGAAAATTAGTCATATTTTCAATTAAAACAATAATTTTTACAAACTTAAATTAAAAAATAACGCGAGAATGAAGGAACTAATAATATAATAATCAAAACAAGTAAAATTAAAACTAAACATTTTGAACAGTCATAGTCTAGTTATAAGGGAATCAAATCAACTAAACTTTCTTTGGGCTGTACCATTGAATTAGGAAAAAATTCACATAATTTATCAAACAAACTACAACGCCATTTGTGTATTTGTTCACTGAAATCACCAGTTTGGTTATCATCTTTAAACAATAGAGCTGCAGTTCCCTGAAACTATTTTTCATTTGTTTAATAGGAATTGAAATGGTTTATATTCCAATATCAAAAGTATTAAATTTTACATGGAATGTTTTTTGTAAGCTGATACAAAATAAAAATATTTATTGGTATTTTATTCTTACTTAATATACAGGGTGCCGCAGTCAAACCCGATGATTTTAACATGAACTGGTGGGCGTGGCTAAAGTGGTAGAGATTTCGGGAATGTTCTTATCTCTTTTAAATACCCGGAATTTAGTAATCATGGAGCATTGGCCGAGTGAACAACGTGCATTCGCGGTAAAAGAGTATTACAAAAGTAATCAAAGCGTGTAAAGGTGTGGCTAACCAATAAAGGCATTTGGCTGACACAATCTTTAAAAAATGAAGTTTTTAAATATATAAAATAAAATTCCACTTGTGTAATTTGTATTTGTTTGGGGAAAAATCAATAAAAAATTGTTTTTCAATTTTTTTTATTTTTTTAAATCGTCAGATTTGACTGCCGCACCCTGTGGTAAATAGTTTTAGTATTTCAATCAACTGATAATATGAACAAATGTATACATTTGGAAAAAAGTATAAAACAGAAATAATTTCAACTGAAATCATTTAATTTTGATGATTTGTTTTGTAGCATACTTGACTTACTTCTCGAGTTTGCTCCATGTCGGAATGATCGATCAGTTCTGATACAGATGTTTGTAAAAATTGCATGGCAGCTACTTTATCTTTTTTTTTAATTTCTTGAAACCTAAACAGCATAATAATAATATTAGGAATATTTATTGTAGGTATAAATAAACACAAAACTTACTTGAACTTTCTAATCAACAGTTTGCACTGGCTGCTGAGTTCTGTGTTAGTGCATCTATAAACTTTGAGTTCCCAAAAATCATCTAGTCTTAAATTTTGAGCATCAGATCTTCCAGGATTACCACCAAACAAATAGTGTGTCTTAAGTGTAATATAAAAACATAATTTTTGTTAATTCAATATAATCCAGATAATAGAATACTTGGAAAAAATAAAATCCGTAAATATTAGTAGTAAAAGCATCAACCTTATTCTTTTGATCATATACCAACTGGTAAGCAAAACGAGGACATGGTTCTAAGTGTTGCATTCTATTCCAATATTGTTCATCAGAATTATGATTTTTGTAGATACAGATCCTATAAAAATTACAAACTCACATTTTATTATTTTAGCATTGTAAATGTATGGATACTTGTAAAATGATTTAAAAATACTACTACAGATTGGAAAGTTTTGTAAAAGTATGTTTTTTAAGATGTCCAAATAATTTTTTTCTGTTAAACCATGTGATGGTCAATTCGTGTTAAATATTGAGTTTAATAAGATAAATTCTACTTAATGTGACCTATATTAATTTTATTTTTTAATTCTATAATTACATTACTTAGAATCAAAATTTAAAATTCTAAATAATGTAATAACAATCAATCAACTAAACTATATTATAACATAATAATCTAAAATAAAATCTAAACATTTTTAACAATACTGATATGTAAGACCCGGAGTTAAATGCAAATACATATTTTTATACATTTGGTTAAAATGTATGCTTCATATTTCTAAATAAAAGCATATAAGTAGAATATATGATAAAGTAATTGAAATTTAATTTTTTTAGTTAAAATATATGTTTTTTTTCCCAAAACCAAACAAGCCCCCTGACCTGGTAACGTCATATAGACCAATTAGTCTATTACCTTTTTTCGGAAAAGTGCTAGAAAGACTAATACTGAATCGCATACTTCCCATAATTAGTGAAAAAAATTTATTACCTAACTATCAATTCGGTTTTCGCGCACATCATTCTACAATCCATCAAGTACACAGGCTAGTTGATTCGATTTCTTTCGCACTTGAAAAAAAAATGTATTGTTCTTGTGTATTTCTTGACATTCAACAGGCCTTTGACCGTGTATGGCATGAAGGGCTGCTGTACAAGGTAAAGTCCTTTTTGCCCCCAACATACTACATGCTACTTAAATCTTATTTAACTGATCGTTATTTTCAAGTTCATTTTAAATCTGCATACTCAAACATTGCTAACATCAGAGCTGGTGTGCCTCAAGGGGGTATCCTTTCTCCATTACTATATAACTTATATGCTTCTGATCAACCAACATCCGTCAACACCATTGTGGCAGACTATGCAGATGACAAACTCATCATATCTACAAGTGAAAACCCCTTTGTAGCGTCGCTTAATCTACAGAATCATCTTTCTCTTATGGAAACCTGGTACAAGAATTGGAGGATTAAGATTAATCAAACCAAATCTAATCACACTACTTTTACCCTTAAGCTAGGACACTGCCCGCCAGTCACTCTCTTTGGTACGCAAATTCCGTCCACTCCGATAGTCAAGTTGGCTTAACCCTTGACCGTAGACTAACATGGGCACAACATACACGTGTTAAAAGACTCCAACTAAATCTCCGACTTCGTATGCTTAAATCTCTACTAGTCAATAACAAACACACCAACCTTAATATAAAACTACTAATGTACAAATCCCTCATTAAACCCATTTGGACCTACGGTATCCAACTGTGGGGAAACGCAAAAAAATCAAATACAAATCGCATTCAGACTTTTCAAAACATAACATTAAGAAAATTAACAAACTCACCCCCATATGTTTCCAATCATACTCTCCACACAGACCTAAAAATTAAAACTATTAAAGAAGTAGCTGCTATTTATTATAAAAGATTTCATAAAAGGCTTGCAACTCACTCAAATCCTTTAGTCAAAACACTCTCATCAAATGTTATTCCGGGAAATCCTCCTAGGCGACTAAAATGCAACTGGTGCAGAGATATGCTGACTTAATATCATAATTTTAAATTAAAAAAAAAAAAAAAAAAAAAAAAAATTAATCAATAAACATAGTGTGTGTCTATGAGAAAACCTAATTATAACCTCAATTTTTAAGTGTCATCACTGGGTGGCTGCTTTTATCAAGCTTTTCATGTTATTTTGTTTGTTTATATTTTAGCTAATACTCTTGTTGTACCCTTGAGGTACAGATTGTGTATTTAATATTAATAAAGAAAAAAAAAAAAAAAAAATATATATTTTAATTTTCTTTTAAACCAAATTCAGTATCTACAAATCAATGTGTCGCCAAATTATCACACTAAATATTTAAAATAATATATTTCTAGTAAAAACGCACATTCAATTTTAAAGACTTTTGTACACCTAATATTTATGTTGTAACTATATTTTTAGGACACTAAATTCCCTACTGATAATAATTAACAATAAAAATATACATAAATATATTAATCACAAGTGAATTTTATTTGCATATTTTTTAATTATTCATATGTAAATGCAATTTGCATAGTTGACATATTTTTTTTTTGTAAAACCAGGCTTTACAGATGAGCAGGGCTCGGAGCTTCATGTATATGCTTATTTCTTAGGAAATTGCTTATTCAAAATCTAATTTTACACAAATTTATTTAATTATACAATATACAATAAGTCAATGATGTATTGAATTCCGAGCTCTGCTAATAAGTATAACCATGGTAAAGTCCCTTAATTATAATTCTATAGAATTAAATAAAAATATATTATAAGTTTACCATTTATTTTGTTTGATGAAATACACCCAGAATGCATTTTGAACTTTATCCTCTCTGCGATCCTTGTCTTTACTTAGACTCTTCATTCAATAAGTAACAAAGATATTATTTCATTAAGATAACTATAAAAATAATAATCAAGAAATAATTATACTTACAGATAAAACATATATTTCATCATGATCCATGTCGATTGTAGCGCGCTGTGTATACCCCATAGGTGGCTTATCAACAGTTGATGGCATTGGCATTGCTTGTGTTACCCCTGTTTCAATATCATACCATAAGAATTCTGGACATTTTTGGGCCCATCTTTGCCGTTGACCACCAAATATATATATCCGTCTCATTTTCTAATGACAAAACAACCTTATTATAGTATGCTTTATATCATAATTTATAATAATCATTAATAACAAAAAAAAACAAACTGAATGTAATAATATGGAATGTCCTCCACGCGATGCTACTGTTTGTGGGTTATGTGTTAAAAGTCCATCTTGGACTTTGATTTCGTGGAATGTGTCCGGTAAAATACATGTCCATGTATTGGTTGGAACATGATATTTGTAAAAACCTGAAAAATCTGGATTGTTTTTATGAGTTTCATCAGAACTGCATCTAAAATAAATAAAACAAATACTGACTTTTTTTTCTTTAAAATGTTATTGTTAAGTTCTATAATTTATTCAAACCTAGTAGAAGACGCTACCACCCTACCGCCAAATACATAAATAGTCGATGATATAGAATCCATAACCATTTGGTGGTCAAACAATAACTTGGGTCCACCCATTATATTTGTGTCAGCACATATTAAAGTCCATTGACTTTGTTCAATGTCATAGACATAAAAATCACTCTTAAAACAAAAGAAAACTTTAATAAAAATAATGATATGATAGTAATAAATAATAATAAAAGGGCAATGATACCTGAGGGTAATCACCAATAAATGATTGAACTTCATAAAATCTTCCTAAAACAAAAATTTGCTTCCTTTCCATGTCAATACATATCTTATGACATGATCGTGGACTTGGTCCACCCTATTTAAAAGATATTTATTGGTTCAATAATTTTACATATAGTTTTTTAACTGATATAAAATAAATAACTTTACATGTTCTTCTACATTGATTGAAATACAACGCCATGTACTAGTGGAGATAGTAAAGCACCATAAATCGGACAAATCCTTATGTCCGTCCCATCCGCCAAGCAGATATATCATTCCATTGGTTGAATCAATACACATTTGATGACCTCCACGCATACATGGCCTTCTTTTACCTGGATTATCGTGTTCTTTAACTAAATTCCAAATAGGTTTGAAACTTTGCCTTTTCATAAAACTTTCTAAAAAGCCATCTAAAACAAAAAAAATATTGATTTAGATGATAAGGTTCTAAATAGTTGAAGAGTAAGGACAAACCATTTATTGCTTGATCCATTGAAGTCTCAGCCATCTCATAATTTCCCTGTGTAACTATTGTATCATATAGTTGTGATAAAAAAGGATGTTCTAATGTTATATGAGAACTCTGCAAGAGAACATTGGCAGCTAGGTCATAGTGTTTTTGACGAAAATGTTTAAGACACAGTCGAATTATCGTTTCTTCTCGAAACTAATAATAAAATCATATTTTATAACAATTTAATAGCAAATAACTTTATAGTTTTAAATCATACTTGATAGAATCTAGTGATTTCACTGGATACAATATGAGAGTCATCAATGCCAAGTAGCTCGACATACCAAAGACTATAATTGAAATTTGAACCCCAGGATTCAAGAGGTTCCAATCTGATATATCTTACAGGTATCATTGAATTATTATCAAGAGTGTGACGTAAGTTAAATATTTCTAAGTCACTATTGTTGTTGAGGCCACTAAATTAAAAACAATAAATAAAGTATTAAAAGTACAATAAGATACAAATGTATAATATAAAAAAATTATAGTAATTGTTAATACTTAATACCTATAGAGCAATTCAATTTTTGTATCTTCTCCTAGTCCACCGTAAACTTTGAATCTTTTTAAATTACATACATGCGGTCGTTCATATTTGCCAAATTTTATGTACTTTACAATGGAAGTATTTTGTAGCTTCAAGATTAAATACTGCAATTTAATATATAATTATATTAAGTAAAATAACAAAATACACCTAAAGCATAATATATGATATATGTATAATATTATTAATTGTACTTGAGGTGGACTATTGGACATCGAAGACCATCTAGAACTTTGATCTTCCTGATTATCATGTAAAATATTTCTGTGAACATATAAACATATCAAATTTTAATTGAATACAAACTAGTAAAATAAGATTTATAATTTAATAAAATTAAAATATCATTTTTTGTTATAAATTATAAGATACTATAAATATAATAGATATATATTTATACTGAGCTTTAAACTTTATATAAGCTTAAGGGATTTATGCATGGTAAAAATATTGGATCAGTACCAAAATCAATATTTTTTTTAAGGTTGTGATATGTAATACAATATAATAATTACAGTGGATCTTATCCATCAAATCTTTGGTCTAAGGACAATAATGACAATTATTTTAATTAACAATAATTAATAAATAAATATTAAAAGATATAAATTAATAAATAATTATGTATTTTAGATATATTGTTTTTCGTTTGTTTTTATTTAGGTATTTAAATAATAATGACATAAAAAAACATTTTCATTTACTAGAATATCATACTCTACATGACTAGTTAAAAATTATTCAAATTAGTAATTTTTAATTGCTATAGTTAAGACTGATTAAATATTATAACAATTTAAGACTAACTATATAGTGCATTATTAGAGTTACCACTATGATGTACCTAATTGTTTGTTGTACCTACTATAATAATAACCTTATTATAGTTTGTATATACATCATAGGTAATATACACAATTAATACATACACAACAAAATAGTTACTAAATGAAATTTAATAAGGTACCTAGGAGTTAAAAAATCTATTAGGTAGTTTACCAAACTCATAAAAATATTTTGTACAGTTTAACAATCAATTGATTTAATTAATTTTCTGAATTTAAAACGGTTAACAATAAATTATACTAAAATATGACAAATTTTCTGCCAATTTGTTTGTAATTTTTACACAATCATTAGTTAGCTACTTAATTTACATTATTTTCTAAAATATTTAATTAATTAGTGTTGAGTTCAGTGAAAACATAATCGTGTTTCCTAGTTAAAACAAATATCTAAATTAATATTTTCTGATCAGTACACAAATAGATATGTAATGAAAAACGATACCTTTAGAAATAAGTGTATGGTTTAATTGTTGTACAATATTAAAGAATAATTGTTATAAAGTAAGCTGTCCTTACTCTGGTACGTAAGTCGGCAAGTAACTCGAATAAGAATGTATGGAATACGATAATTTCTTGCACAAATCGGAACTGGTAGAAGGTTCGTCCATTTTCTGAATACAGATGACGACGGTGGATGAGACAAATTCGGAGTATCTGCTAATTGTTTTTGTCCGGAAACACTAATCGAGGTTCGAGAGTTGGACAGTTTGAGATGACTAGATGAGTAGACGACCGTTATGCCCACATAATATTCTGTCATATATTATAACATTATTTCATATTAGTTATACATTAATAATAGACAGTTAAGTGTCTAAAATGGTAATTCCCGATTCCATCGAAGTGTCCAAATCCCAAAAATAATAAATAAAAATTGATTAACTATCTTATCGTTTTTTATGATAACGATTCATTTTTATCGTATTTCGCTTGGATAATAGTCCATTTTACTCTTCCACGTTCATATAAAATTTGTATTACAATTTGCAAAATATAGTGGTAGGTACTAGGTAATAACTATAAAACTATATAATTGTACCTTAGAATTGGACATAGCTACGGCCACACACTAATTTAATATAATGATATCTTAAATCGTGGACGGTGACCACGGGTATCTTTAATCGGGGACGTGGTGGTACTCATGGCTAAATATATGTTCCGTACATTGAACTATATAATAATTATTATATATTATAGTATATTATATAGTATATAGTATAGTATATTATATAGTATAGTATATTATTATATAGTATATTATATAGTATAGTATATTATATATTATTAATTATTATATAGTTCAATGGTTCCGTACTATTCTGTAATCTATGGCTATAATTATTTATTGTTCTGTGGCCAAGATAGTGGTGGCACTATCTTTAATCGTGGTACCTTTTGGTACTAACCATGGACTACTATACATTTTCATGGTACCAACAGCGTTTATCAGTAAAAATATTATTCACGTCGTTCGGGTTCGACCGGATAATGTTGATAATAAATAATGAATAATGATTAGTGTTGGACTGTAGTAGTGAAAACTGAAAATAATCAAATAGGATCATAACGATATAACGATTTACGACCCGTACGCTTTTTGTTTGTGATTGTTTTAATTTCGTTTATCCGATTCTTTTCTTGTTCCGGGGTAACTGTCCGACCGAGTTATTCAATTCGACGATATGCTAGGCAGACTTCCACCATGCGTCATCGATGTGGGTACTGGGTGAGTACCGGTTGGCCCATCCCCCAGGCCATAATATTATTATGTCATTCTGTTTAAATACCCTGGGCGAATCGCCACCATCACTCATACTTGACGACTACTAGTTGCTAATCATGGCCGATGTACAGGTATACAAAGTTGGGATTTGCTCCCAACAAAGAGCCGCAGATGATAATACCATCGGCGATTGCCATCAAGGAGTCGGCCAAGGTTGGTGATCAGACAGTTCGACGGCTTACAAAGGGCGTGGAAGATTTGGATTTCTACATAGGAGATGAGGCATTTGATGCAAAGGGCTATTCCATTAAAGTACTTACCTACAGTTTTAATGTCGCCCTGTAAAGAAAACTAAGCAAAATGTTAACTGATTAAATTAAATTGTATAGTACCCAGTGAGGCATGGTTTGGTCGAAGACTGGGATCTGATGGAAAGGTTTTTAGAACACTGTATTTTTAAATATTTAAGAGCTGAGCCTGAAGATCATCATTTTTTACTAACCGAACCACCATTAAATACACCAGAAAACCGGGAATATACTGCTGGTAAGTAAAATATGAAGTAGAACAATTAGTTATCTACTGTAATGTTATTATTTTTTGTGATGAAATAGTTATCAAGTTGGCTTTTAAAGAATTTAAAATGTTTCTCGATATACAAAAAGTACAAATTAATAATAATAAATACCTACAACTGTTACTAATTACAATTTTTTTTTTCTAGAAATAATGTTTGAAACATTCAATGTTCCTGGTCTTTATATTGCTGTACAAGCTGTATTAGCATTGTCTGCTTCGTGGAAATCACGGCCTCTTCATGAACGTATACTGACGGGTCTTGTAGTGGATAGCGGTGATGGTGTAACCCATATAATTCCAGTAGTAAGTATTCACACTATTTTTGATTATTTCAATACAATTTATCATACTTTATTTTGTCTTTTATATTTTTTTTTTTTTTTTTTTATTAAAAATATATTACAATCTGTTTACACATAAAACAATAAGTAACAATGATGATAGTGATTAAAGAAGACATGAAACACATGAAGAGGAGACTGTCCAGTGACAGAACCTCAGAAAATTTGAGTTCGGGCATTGAAATTTATTTTATTATTTTATTTTTAATTTTAGATTTAGATTAGAAGGTCTCTAGCCCAATTTCTTTTTAACCGTCGAGGAATATTAAGAGGTAGTGTGAGAGAAGACATCTTTTTGATAAAGGGGTTAGAATGGTTAATTAATTTGGAATGGAATTTTTTATAGTAGTTTTTAGCAAGTTCATTTACTGTTGGAAGTTTTAAGTCGTTATGGAGAGCTGAATTTGTGATATACCACGGAGCACCGGTTAAGAGTCTTAATGAGATGGATTGAAAGGCTTGGATGGGACGGATGTTAGCAGGTTTCGCTGGGCCCCATATTTGAATACCATAGGTCCATATTGGTCTTATGATAGATTTGTAAATTAATATTTTATTTTAGAGATTTATTTTTGATTTTAGAAGAGGTCGGAGTAAATGGAGGCGGGAGTTGAGTTGTTTACGTTTATTTTTTGTATGATTTGCCCAGGTTAGCCTTTTGTCTAGAGTGATACCTAGGTATTTAGTTGATTGATGAAGAGGAATTGGTTTGTTATTAAATTTGAGTGAGGGACATTCATTTTTCTTAAGGGAAAAATTAACCTGAGCGGATTTATTGTCATTAATTTTAATTTTCCAGTTATTTGCCCAAGACTCAATTAAATTTAAGTGCTATTGTAAGTTGTGTGAAGCGGTGTCTGAGTCATTATTTGAAGCAAATATTGCTGTGTCGTCAGCAAATGTGGCGAGGAGAGTTTGATTGGAAGTGGGCATATCAGAGCTATAGATATTATAAAGTAAAGGAGAGAGATCACTACCCTGAGGGACACCTGCCTTAATTTTTTGGATAGTAGAAAATTCATTTTTGTGGCGTACTGAAAAAGACCGGTTATCAAGATAGGATTTAATTAAAAGAAAATAAGGTGAAGGGAGAAAGTGCTTAAGTTTGAAAAGAAGTCCGTCATGCCAAACGCGATCAAAGGCCTGTGATATATCGAGGAATACCGCAGGGCAAAATTGTTTTGACTCGAAGGAGGATGAAATTTTATCTACGATTCTGTGGATTTGTTGAGTTGTATTATGTTTACGACAAAATCCAAACTGAGATTTAGGTAAAATATTATGTTGGTCAATTAGTGACGAGATTCTATGTAAAATTAGTTTTTTGAAAAGTTTTGCAAATGTAGGTAGTAAGCTGATTGGGCGATAAGAACTTGTGAGTTGTTTAGGCTTGTTTTGTTTTGAGATCATGATAATAACTGAATGCTTCCAGGTTGAGGGGAAGTACGACAAGCGTAACATAGAATTATATATATGGGTAAGGAACAAAATTTACTTTTTAGATAAATTCTTTGCTATTTTATTTGTGATTAGATCATGACCAGGGGCTTTGTTAGGCCGAAGCTTATGAATGACTGTTACGATTTCGGATGGAGAAATCGGTTTGGCAGGAAGGGCTTTTATATTTGTAGTTCATTTTAAGTATTTATTATTTCTTTTTTCTTAAATAATTCGATCAGTTTCATTTACTTAATTTTATTAAACTGAAAAGTAAAATATAATATGAAAACACATTTTATTTTGTAGTGTGCTGTTCTGCCAGCCATCCAGATTTTGAGTTGTATTGTTGAGTGATTGAATTAATTTAGACAATTTCCTTCAGTTGAAATAAAATAGTTGTTGATTGAAATATAACAGAAGTTCAAATGTAATAGTTTATGGCATGAAGGTGCAATTGAAGTTCAGAAAAAAATTTACTCAGAATTTAATATAAAAAAATATTTCTTATATTATTTTCTGTGCATTGAGATATTATAAGTAGGTACGTGGAAACTGAAACTGATTGTTCCCTATCTGGCTATCCCAATGCATCAGAATAATAGGTTAAATGCTTACATGGATAATGTAAGACTGGTTCCGGTAAAAGTTATAAGCGTATACTTTTTCTGAGCAATATAATATTTGTGTTAAATTTGATTCTTAATTAATATTTTTATTTTTATCTATGATTTCAGGCTGAAGGCTACGTAATTGGTAGTTGCATCAAACACATACCAATAGCTGGTCGTAATATAACATATTTTATTCAGTCATTGTTGAGAGAAAGAGAAATTGGTATTCCACCAGAACAAAGTTTAGAGACAGCTAAAGCAATTAAAGAGCGTTACTCCTATATATGTCCAGATATTGCTAAAGAATTTGCCAAATATGATTCAGAACCATCAAAATGGTTGAGAAAATATGATGGAATTAACAGTGTGACTAAGCAACCATTTTCTGTAGATGTTGGATATGAACGGTTCTTGGGACCGGAAATTTTCTTCCATCCTGAAGTATGTATTCCTCTTCTTTTATGATAAAGAATAATAATTCTGTGATTTTATAGTTTTCAAATCCTGATTTTACCACTCCTATATCCGAAATGGTTGACACAGTTATACAAAATTGTCCAATTGATGTGCGTCGTCCATTGTATGATAATATTGTTCTATCGGGAGGTTCAACTATGTTTAAAGACTTTGGTAGACGTCTTCAGAGGGACATCAAACGTGTAGTTGATGCTAGATTGAAACGTAGTGAAACAATAGCCGGAGATAATTTAAAAGTAAATTTTAGCATAACAGTAATTTATACAAATAGCTTATAATATCCTTTTGTTTAGCCAAAACCTATTGATGTTCAAGTGTATACTCACAATATGCAAAGATATGCTGTTTGGTTTGGTGGTAGTATGTTAGCTTCTTCAGTAAGTACAAATTTTTACCTTTTTCAATTAATGTTTCATAAACACAATAGGTGTATTGGATATTTTTTAATTCATTTTTTTAGCCCGAGTTCTACACAGTGTGCCATTCGAAAAAAGATTACGAAGAATATGGGCCGAGTATATGTCGACATAATCCCGTTTTTGGAACAATGATGTAGCCTTTCTTCATGATGGTCACATTATTTTAAATTTATAAAAAAAAAATCATATATTATTAATTATTATTTATTTATATATTTATATATATACATATAATTTTTTTTACTTATTACAAATAAAAAATTATTATAATTTACTTATAATTATTTTCAATTTATGTTCACTCAGTAATTTAATATCGGTGCTCGATACTAATTTTGTATTTTTTTGTATTGTTATTTACAACGATCATAATATAGGCTATAATATTGCCAATTTATGGAATTTAGGATAAAATGTGCATACTAAATTTAACATTGGATATTCATGTACATGTAAAAATTTCTCTTCCAAATAACGATTCCTTTGTTGAAATAAATTATTATGGATATTATTAATTTATAGTTTGTCTTTTCATAACCTAGTGGCGGATATTGGGGTGGGAGGGTAATTGGTAGACCATCCCCTTGGGCTTTTTACCACCCCATGGGAGGGGTTGAACGTCATTCCCTCTGTGGATTGGAAATTCGCACCCCCCCCCCCACCTCAGAACTAGGATATATCCACTAATGTCATAGCCTTACACTTCAATGATGTTTCATAAACATTTTATTAAGTACAAAAATCATCTCAATCTAATGAAAACTTTGTATATTTTACTGGGCAAGAAAAATAAAAGTACAAATATTAAATTATACTTGTTTTAATCATATTATGATGAAAACAAAGTATTTATCAGCTAAATTAAAATAATTAACAAATAAATATAATAATGAATAAATAAAAAAAAAATTATACAATAGGTTTATAAGAATTAAAAGAAAATTTTTACAAATGCGTATGATGACATTGCCTTTCATACTTCATAATTTATATCGTACAGAACAAGATTACAATAAATTGTTGTTATAGGTTTTGTTTTTAATGAAAGGATGGATATATTATAAACATTTTACTTACACACCAACAGAAGGCGGTAAATTGTAACAGCTGATTTGTCAAGAGTCAGAAAACTGGGTCAATGCAGTTTTGACTTTGTCAAATAATAGTGAATCTGATGTTGTTATCAATTGCTGCAATAATTTAAAAATACCCATTTCCTTTAACTTTGCTTGTCTGTCGGCAGCACCACTATCTTCTTTCCATACAAGATTTGATACACAAAATATTGCTGCAGCTTGTAATTTTGCATTACAGTTTGTCATGTATTCTTGAATTTTTTTCAAGATCTCGTTGTTTCTCATTATGTAATCTTTGGCAATGTCACCATCAGCAATGTTGGCTAGAATACACAATGCCTGTTCTTTTACCTCGGGCATGTTATCACCTTCGAGAATCATCATCACAGCCTGTATTATATCACCACCACAGAGGTTCATAATATAATCAATGTGGGGTTTTGTCGAAAGCAAATTTCTTAACAGCCCTAATGTTTTCATTAGAATGTTGATATGAGAATCAGACAACAAATTGAATATTTGATCAGTTCCCAAAGTACTTAGGATTTGGGATTTAATTTTTTGTTCTGCTTGGAAAGCCATATTCATTAACGCCCATATCCCATTAAGTCTCAATGAATGATCATCTCGTTTGGTTAAACTGCAAAATAATTCTATAGCTCCAGACTCTAAAATGGGTTCTTTAGACGGTGAAAATTCTAATAAAAGATTACATAGTGTAGACGAGGTGACACTCAGAATTTCATCCGAAGCACCTTCTAATAATGCCATTAAAGGTTTCCAAACAGAATGATCTTGAAAAGTTGTGCGTAGTTGCTGGACAGAACGTGACAAAGAGTGTAAACATCGGACAGCAGCTAATTGCACTTTAGGGCTAGGATCTTTCAAGCCTAAAACAATGTGATCAATTAAATTGTCAGTTTCAATTATTCGCTTACGAATTTCTTCATCATTTGCCCCAAGAGATGCAAATACCTATAACACAAACAATTAGAAAATATTTAATAAACAATTAGAAAAAAATTATGATTTAATTTTACTTTGAAAGCAGCTTGCTTCATTTCTTTAGATCTATGTTCTCCAAAAGTGCCACCATATTCTCCTAAGGGATGTGCTGGATAATTCACAAACTCTGCTAGTGTTTGTAACAGGTGATTTGATATGCTAGCTAACGACTGAAGTTCAGCATCATCCTCAATGAGTACAGCTAAAATTTCAGCTGCTTCTACGCGATGTTCCCATTTTTGGTCGTTTTGACATAAACGCACAAGAGTTGGCAATGCTCCAAACATTACTTTAGAATCATTAACTTCTAATGCTCCTGCTCTATAAAGGCATGTAATGCATTTTGATGCAGCTAAACGCATACTAGTTGGTCGGTCACCACCTCGCATTGAGTCCAACATTTCTGGCATTGTCTTGCCATTATATTCAGTCTCTTCTAGAGCTGCAGAAATCATTGGGTTATCTTGGCAAACACGAGCAAAACATTTCAATGTGGCAATGGACAAATCATCCAGTTCAGTGTTCAGTAGATTAGCCAAAATATAGCCAATTCCTTCTTCCCATAGAGTATTTTGATGAGCTGTTGTACGACAAGAATAAGATAGTATAGACATGGCACAAATACTGTTGCTAATAGACTCTTCAATAGTTTTAATCAGCTTTCTTATAATTGCTGCATCACTAAACACTACAGAATAATCAGAAAATGGAAATTGAAGAATGGTACATATGCAACGAAGACACGCTTCTGTAAACTTTGGTTCATCGTCCATAAGGAAAGCGTTGAATATATAAGTCACAACATTGGCTTCCACCAGTGACTTAACTTGTTCTTCAGATCCTTTGGCTAATGAGCCAAGTATTACTACAGTTTCCAGACGGATATCTGGTGTTTTTGTTTGGTCAGGTAACACCTAAAAAACAATTCAAATTATTAAATGAGTAAATCAAGGAAATGAGTCTATCTAAGGTATTTTTATTTTTTATAAAATGTACTGGAAAAAAGCAATAAGTAATTTTATAATATATATAATATTAAAGTTTATACTGCCAAATATCAGGTCTACTGAAGGAAAACTTATTTTACTTAAGGGTATAAATGTCATACTTCAAAATCGATATGAGCCTACAGAAGTTAAATATTAATAGAAATCATCAGATAGGTAGTCGTAGTTCTAGCCGTGTTCTAGGTTTAATTTTGGCAGTAACACGTCCATGGTAGTGTATTTATGACAGTGTAATTACTGCAGATGGTCGGCCAATCATTCCTGACCAACAATTTGCAAACGACCGGGGAAAAAATGAATCACCTGCAAAAGCCGGGGGAGTATGCCGTTGGCGATGACCATACCCTTCTGCCTGTTGCTGCCCATGATGGAGTTCTTGACAAAGTTGAGCGCCTGATAGCATTTCGCGTTGTCTTGCGTGTACAGGTTGTCGATGTAGTAACGAGACGTCTCAGCGTTCATCACGAATATCGGATGCGGCACCATAATAACAATATCAACGATAATAATAATAATTTATTATTATTGCTGTCGTCTGTCTTTGCTAAACTGTCAGAGCTGCAATCGTCAATGTATCGTCGCGAATGGGACCACCATCGGGAGTCTGAGAGTAGCAACCTGGGTACGAGGACGAACAATTACGAATCACGTATCGAAAACAAATCGATGGCACCGAAAACGAATCGCTTTGATAATAATAAAGGTAATATGGAAATTGGAAGAGTTCACGGGTCTCGCGTCATCGCAGTCCGCAGAGTCGCAGAATAATAGAAAATAGAAATATAGACAGAACAAAATAAAGATGATAAGTGATAACAGCTTTTATTTTCCTTTTTATTTTGTTATCTAAACCACGAACTACTACATAGGACTGGACACTCCTGGCAGGGGGGGGGGACACCGGTCACAAAGACAAAGTTGTACGGGTATCAAGGAGTATCAACAGACCTTAAAGGGTATGTACGTTTGCGACTGTGATGCTACCTAGTGACGTACTAGATTTACTACATATTTTCGTACCTATTTAACTTTTATGAACGTAATATTTATATTATAATATAGACTTATGAAATATGAAAAAAAAATAAAAACAAATCGATTAACTTAATGAATATTATTTCAATATATTTTTATAATGAGTCTGTTTCACAATATTTTTTCAAATATGTTGTATAGCACATTTTCCTTATGACCTTATGTAGTCTGAAGTACCTACCTACCTTCTCAATATTAATTAACGATATGGATACATGCGATTTGTTTCTAATTCATAAAATGAGTTTTCAGACTTGTGTACTCTGCACCCTGCAGTAGTGCAGTGTAATATATATTTTAAGAGGAACGGTGAATGCATTGGTTTTATAATGATAATATGTGGATTTTTGTGTGTTTGTCTTTACTATTTAGGGGAGTACAAATGCTTTGAATTTCAGCTTCAGCATTTTTCTGGTAGTCAAGTGATTCTAGTTGGTACTTTGGGAGGTTAAAAATAAAATTCTCAGTAATTTCATAAATTAAGAAAAAACGGTAATTTTTACCCAAAACCAGTTTTCGACAAAATCGTTTTTGTTTTTTTTTGGTGTAACTCAAAAACGAATAAAGTAATGATTTTCCACTACATTTTTATATGACCATTTTCTATACGTGATACAATTTTCAATATATTTGGCTCTTTTTGAGATATTTATAGATATACTTTCAATTTTCAATTTTTTAGTTTTCTATACATTTCGATGAAAACTTTTCACGTGATAAATACGCACAACATTGTAATACAAAGTTACTCATTAGTTGAAATTCATCTAAATCATAAAAATTTGAAAATTATTTTGTATATGAAAATGTATAAAATGGACAATAAACTAATCATTTTTGTTTCTCGGTCAAAATTTTCACAAGCTATAAATATTTTTTACATCGCGTTTTGGCGTTTACCAACTACCTATACATAAAAAAGAAACCAATTGAATTATTCAACGAAAATATATATTTGTGCTAAATTAATACAATTTACAGTAGGTACCTTTAATTATTTTTACATATACAGGAATATTTATCAAAAGTGTAACTTATACGTCATAATAATATACCTCTAACATGAATAATTTAATAATGCGTAATAGTGATACTAATTATTATTTGAACATTTCATTTTACTTCGAAATTTGTGTAGCTACAATTATTTTATACATGTTATACATTTTATACACTTCATACAATTTATAAATATCATACATCTTCGACAGGGCATCGAGATAATTAAAAAAATTATTTTTATACATCGTACTTATACCGCGGAATATTCTATATATAGCAGCAACTGCAATGGCCAATGGCACAACAGCAATTATTGCTCGGAACTATAGGTGCAGCACAATAAGCTCCTGAAGAATTTCTTAGTACGTTTCCAAAATGATCGGCTCTTATAGGTTTGACTGCCGTGTTCGTGGTCACCACCTGGTCCGTTATTGCCACATCTGTGTCCTGCAGTTTCTGCACATAGATGACCGGAATCGCTACATTCCACAGTCCGGTCAGGTTTTTCAACTCCATCATCTGCAGGACTACTCGTGGCCGACGGCACTAGGTTTGCCATGTTTGGCAAGGAAAAATAGACTTTTTTCAGGCGACTTGAGGCGTACCTAACAGCTCGCTCGACTCTTGGCCACGTCCAAATCCATGTCGTTTAATGAAATTGTCGAAGACACGATAAGAGGTCGGCTCCTAGGTTTGACCCGCGCCGTGTTCGTGATCACCACCTTTATCGCAGCATCCCTGGTACCTCTGCAGATCCACACAAGTGACCGGCACAGCTACATTGGGTTCTGGTCTCGACTTAGCTGTCGTGGCGGACAATATTTTCGTTTCGTCAGTTTCAGCTGGTGTCAACAACATTATATTCGGCATCGAAGAGTACGGCCTAGTCAATGGACTTGCAGTGTAATGGCAGCCCGCACGTCCCTTGTTCGAATTCATGAGATTTGTTGAAGACATCTGAATAGTAGGTACGAACGTTCTATTAAACTATAATTGATTCGTTACACAGAAAATAACTCGGGATTAAAGACAAATAAATTATACTTTAATGCTAGCTCACCATTTCCTTGGGTACGAGATTTTATACTCTTACTAGGTCTATATGTCTGGAATACACTTCAATCCAAATCGAGCCAGTTAATTAAATACGAGAATATACAGAGGGATTTACCAGCTTGCTGACCCTCATTTTTTCCTTTAATAATAAATGTATTCAAATTATAATTTTAAATATGCTCATAGACTATATTATTTTAAATTGTATAGATTTCTATACAATTTAAGAAGTGTCCCGATACACATTTATTTTTTTCAAATGAGACCAATATATTTTTTAATTGTTAGGCTTATGATTTTTTTTTTATACCTATTACTAAGTCTAATCATTAAACTTAACATTACTACTTGAACGTTTAATGAAAAGTTGTAAAAAATAAGTGATAACTTTCCTTTAAAATTTTACCATTCAATTTATTTTGACCATCAATTGTATTTAATTCTACATCGTTCGTTGTTAGTTATCACATTAATTCGTTAATTTTATTTTTATGCACTTTAGCATAAATGGTAAAAATATTTTTAAATAAAATAATTTATATATTAATTACATTTAGTATTTTTAATTAGGTACAATGTAACATAATAATATATATTATGTTATGTATTAATTTTTAAGCTAGGTACAATAATAATCTGTTTTTAATGAGATGAAATTGACAGTTAAATTGAAAGTACATTATATTCTTCTATATATTTATCTCTCAAATTCTGCAATTTTACAACCATTATATGTGGGATAATACATATATCCCAATATTATGAATAATAATGATTTTCTGAATTTTAAAATTACCAAATAGGTACCGTTTGTTCTCACTATACACACATCTAATAAGTACAATTATTGTTATTAATTATTTACACATACCTACTGGTTTCACTCTTGGTTGATAAATGTTTAAATATTTTACATAAAAGTTGAACAGCAAAACAAATAGATTGAATTATCACATTCAAATTGAACCGTATTTTCATATTGTATAGGTAGGCCATTATAATTTTAATTTGGGGGACGGTGTGGCTGAGCGGTCTAAGGCGTTGGTTGCGACGCAGCTGGCGGCAGTTCGATTCCTTGGTCACGGGGGGCATTTTTCTTCAGGCAAGTCACTGTGTGCAGAAAACAAGTGCCGCCATACCCCACCCGGGCATGGCAGATACCGACGGGTGCCCAATCAAAAATTCTGCCAAACACTAACACTCACGTGTAAACACCCACCACAATACAACCTTACTAACAGCTAATGGCCATAGATGCTGGGCTTAAGGATCATTAAAAAAAAATATGACTTTTAGACCAATAAAGCTAGATAAAACTGGAATAATTTGGTTTGATAGATTTTAATTTTGAAAACGAATTATGATTGATCAACGGTTATTACTAAATAGGTACTATTGTAAAAGTATAGTTTATTTTATAGAAATAACAAATAAAAACCATAAATCCCCTATGGTATCTGTAACTAAGATAATATTAAGTACTTTGTGACACTTATCACTATTTCAATATTGCACACATTTATTGAAATACTAGTTACTAAACTCCCCTACTGAATTTGATTACTGTCTATGGCACTGACGGACGCCGGTATTAAGAGAATGTCAGTGCACAATTATATTATTTACATATTACCTACAATATGGACAACTCTTTTTGTCTAGTATTAGTTACCTATTTGTTTTTTTTTTTTTTTCAAGAAATGTAAATTTAAAAATCTAATTTCTGGTCAGGTGGCACTGCTGGGAGCCTTCCTATCATGTTATTTATGTCTAATGTTCCTATGTCACCACACTTACTCATTATACCTCGTATGTTGTATAGATTGTAAATATTCTTTTAAAATAAATATAAAAAAAAGAATTAAAAAAAAAGAAATGTAAATGTAAATGTTAACCATTTGTTCTTTACAATAACATATTAAAACATAGTTTTTCAAATTGGATGGCTGAATTAAAATATAATACGCGTTGAGTCTTCTTCAATGATCTACAAGTTCTTGACTTGATTTAAAATATATGTAAGCATTCATATTGAATTGCAGTTCTTGGATAAACGGTTTTAATAAGAACATACAATCGTATTTATACGATAGTATACCACATACAAGTAACTACAACTACACAACTGCTACAAAATAATTTAATTTTAATGAACGGTACACAATTGTAGATCAGGTTAAATACATATTCTTATAAAATTATAAAATAAATTATGTAAGATTTTAACATAGAAGAAATCATTAAATGTAATGTTTATAAATACTTAATTCTAACTTTACAGTAAATTAGGTACACCACCTGATATTGGGAACACTCTTTCTGTTGCTGGACATATCAGTTTACCATTTATAACATCTACCTAAATAAAATAAATAAAATTGTAAGAATATCAATCATTGTAATATAGTAAAATATTAAATAAATTACTTTTTCAAATGAAATCAACAGGTATACAGAAAATGTATTATTGGATTGTGACATCAAGATTGGTTATTAGATATTAATATATTATATGAAATTCAATTTGGATTAACATAATTTATAACTTATTAATAATGATAAATAATTTTTAAAAGTGAATCCATACTTCAGAATAATAGAAACAATTTGAAAAGTGTTCAGTACAAATGGTAAGTAACTATATTAGATTAGACCAATAGATGAAACAAAATTGTACTATAAACTATAAAACGTCTTAGTATATTAGAATAATAATGATTATATTTTAGTATTTAATACATTAGCCTAGACTTACTTCCATGAGTAGATGGTGAACTTTTTTGAGATACTCTTCATCGTTTTCAAAGCCATCAACTATCTTCTCGGACAGGTCTTTTCCCAGGCCAATCTGGAATAGAAAATAAAAACAACACCTCGTAAAACCCACTAATTTCATGGTATCATTAATGTAAATTGCTTGCGTAACAACGCTGAAACAACCACATGATGAGTGATGACCATACTTGCTTAGCTGCGTTAACAAAAACTGTCCAATTGAGTTTCGGTATCATTTGCTTCACAAACTCCTTGTTGAACGGAGAATGGGATGTACTGATGTCTTTCGCCTGCCGAAAATAAAGTTTAGGTAGTAAACGCAAATACCCAATATTACAATAAGGAGACGACAGTATTAAATTATTGTCGACAACAGAAAATAAAAAACAACAACAAAATCACTCACGACAATGCGAAGCGGATATCCTACTATGACTCCTTCCAGACTTTTAGACGACAGCATATTGTGCGTCAACAGCTTCATGGTTCGCGTGGGAGAATCAAGAGTGTAGACAAAACTAACGATTGATTATTATCGATCGGCAACCAACAGTCGGATAGAGCACGTGAAATCGCAGAGAATTGAGAATGGCCAAACGCAAGTAGACACGCGAAGTCGTGAACCATGTGAGAATATGACTAAAAATTGAAATAAACAAACAACTATTATTATGAAGTATGAACTAAACAAGTCACAAAAACCGCGGCAATAGGAAATGAGCATGAGAAAATAGATAGGTATGTCGGCAACTTTTTGATACGCATCGTGTACGCCGACCACTCCTTACCACGTCTATTAGCTGGTTCGTCGCTCTATGTTGGCCGGGTAATGAAATGAGGCGAACTACGACCATAAACCAATATGGTTGGGAAGGGTGGAATGCGCTAACCGGACTACGTTTCGTATTGTTGCGGACATACCTATCTATTTTGTCACGGAAATAGGTATGAAACCGATTGGTGTGCTCGGTGGTACCACCATAAACTGTTTGTTATCTAATATAACGGAAAATTAAAATAACTATATTTAGAAATAATATATAAATAAAAAATTTAGAGTTTTATACCGTGGATTTTGATCAATGATATGTCCACAGACCGGCGCGGCGACTGTGATAAATCATGGCTAAATAACATGGTATGACAGCAACTCTGACGATATTCAGTTGTTACGCGCATTCATTGTTATCACTTGAAAAATGACGTCAGCCGGTCCCACAATTTGAAATACTATTTAGCGGGAATTCTTATTATATTATGATAATATTATATTGTATTGAATTGAACATTTTCTATAAATATATTATACTATTATTATTACTGCTGCATATTTAGAGTGATTAATGATTATAATTCATAATGTAGAGTAATGGAAAAATGGAACATATTAATATATTATAATCATTGTTTGGTATTGTCATTGTTTGTTGTTTTTTTTATTTAAATTTTTTATAATGCCTGTGTGCGTTGTAAAAAATTGTACGAGTGGCAGTCGTACATCAAAAATTGCCGAAATTAAACCAATCCTTCATCGTTTTCCTAAGGATGAATATCTGCAAAAATTGTGGGTTGAACTTAGTGTTATGTCTGAAAAAATTAAAATTTCTTCTGGTTAGTAAACATTTATATGTGGTTTTATATTATACGCCTACATGGATACATATAGTAAACAATAACTATAGATTAATTTGGTTTTTAAGTATATAATTATTTTAATTTACCTAAAATGTATGTAAACGTTATAGCACGAGTATGCTCATTACATTTTGATTCATCTGATTATGAAAAACCAATGATTCAAAGAATGTTAAAATATTCTCCTAAACATCAACGAAAACTTAAACCCAATGCTGTACCATCAAAAAATTTGGTTGGTTATTATTTTTCAGTATAAAAAAAAAACAATTAAATCTTTTCTAAATCATTTTATTGCAGCCCAGAATTCAAAAACCAACAATTAAATGTAAGCCTGTAAATACACATACACCACACTCTACACATGATGGTTTATTCCAAGCTAGTTTTCAAAGTTCTAAATTACCTAAAGAAAAAAATGATCCATTTACTTCAAATAATAATAATAATTGTTTGAATGATCTACCTGATTTTGGAGTACAATTATTAAGTGAAACACAAGATGTTGGTATTCAGTGTGAAATAGGTATGGTGTATTCTGGACTTCCAGTGGAAAGAGCTGATGTTAGTACACAGTGTGGTAATGATTTGAATGAAGTTGAGAAGTATGAAAAAAATACAAATAATTATTAATGTATAATTCAATTCTATTTATTTGTATGTTTTATTTAAACAGCCTTAAACAACATTTATTGGATCTACATTTAAAATTAAAAAAAGAAAAAGAACTAAATTTAGAATTACAAAATACCATTAAATTACAGAAAGAGATTATTAATTCCATACCAAATAATAAATTAAAAGAAAAAAATGAAATTGAATTTAATAAAGTGTTGTCAGGAATGTTTACTGAAACGCAAATAAAATTACTTTTATATCCCAACAAAAAAGTATATAAGTGGACAGAAAATGATATAGCCAATGCTATAACACTTAGAAGCTTGTCACCTAAGGCCTATAGATATCTCAGAGAAGAAAAAAAATATCCACTGCCAGGTATTTTTTAAGTATTAAGCTAATTATTGATTTTTTCGAAATGATTATAAGTAAAAATGACTGTTTATTAATTAAGGACTTTCAACACTAAGAGGATGGGCGACAAAATTCCCTATGGACCAGGGGATTTTATCTTCAGTCTTATCCATAATGAAACATAAGAGTACATAAAACAAGGGTTTTAATTCTAAAAAAAAATATCATCACAATATTTATAATTATAGGTTCCTCAATGACAGATTTAGAAAAAATAACTGTACTAGCATTTGATGAAACATATTTATCACAGAAAATATGCTATGATAAAAAAAAAGAACAATTCATTGGTCCTCATAAGTGTGTACAAACAGTAGTAGCAAGAGGTAATTTCATTTAATTATATAATTTTATATTTTAAAATAAATGTGACATTTTGTTGAAAAGGTTTAATAGCATCATGGAGACAACCAATATTTTATATGTATGACACTAGAATGACAAAGGATATTTTATTTAATATTATTACCGCATTACACCAGAGTGGTTACAATGTTGTCTCAACCGTAAGTGATATGGGTCCAACAAATGTGAGTTTATGGAATTCACTGGGGATCTCAATCAATAAAACTTATTTTGATCATCCTGAAACAAAGAATAAAATATATATATTCGCAGATGTTCCACATTTGCTAAAATTGGCAAGAAATCATTTTGTAAATAGGTAAATCAAACAATAATGTGATGTTATATAATCATGTGCCCTAAGCCTTAAGTAATAGAATGGTAAATTATATTTTTAAGTGGATACAATTACAAGAATAAGTTTATTGGAAAGCAAGTTGTTGAAAAAGTATTAAATTTAAATAAAAATGATTTGAGACTTGCTTATAAAATTACAAACAATCATATAAATATACCAGGACCTAAAAAGCAGAGTGTTAGTTTAGCGGCACAATTGTTTTCAAATTCATTAGCCAAAGCGATTTCCTATTGTGGTCAAAATTTCAATCTTGACTACAATAACTGGCAAGAGGTTATACTATAATGTTTAAATTATATGTTTAATTATTTATATTTGTTGGATGAATCATTATTATTGTTATACATATAGGCTTCCTGGATAATACAGCTATTTAATGACTGGTTTGACCTGTTTAACACACAGTTACCAGTAGATAAATTTATAAAAAGTTATGGAATGGATCTTGAAAATCAAGACAAATTATTAAAAACAATGGATAATTTTATCTTAGAGATGAGAGTTGTTGGACATAAAACATTGTTACCATTTCAAAAAGGTGAAAAATCATGTACTTAACTATAATAGTTTTGTTGTAAATTGTTATTAAATTTCTAAAATTTTACACATTTAAGGAATTTTATACAGTAACCAGTCATTGAGAAATCTTTTGATTGATTTGAAATTAAAATATCCTGATATAAGTTATATAGTAACAAGACGTTTGAATCAAGATATTCTTGAAAACCTTTACAGCTATTTAAAAGCTATGTCTGGTGCAAATACACACTTATCACCTCTTGATTTTAAACATTGGTATGATTAAAAAACTTGATAAATAAAATATAAATAAATTTATAATTTAACATGGACCTTCTATTTTTACAGTCTAAAATGGTACTTGCTTGGTAAACATGCCTCTATTGCACTGTCACAGAACAGGAATACTGAAGATACAATAGGTGAACGGTTAATCGATACTGAATGTTTATCAGCATCAATTGTCAAAGAGTCTGAAATTCTTGAAACGCCTTTAGACAACGATCACATGTCCACCGAAGAACTATCTTACTCTGCAGCAGATAATCATTTTTTAGTATTAGAGGAAGACAAAGATTTTTCAGAACTTTTTAAAACAGAGGTGCCTTAAAAAAAAACTTTGTACTATACATACTAAAATAATCATAAATGCATATACCTTACGCTTTATATTATCCTTATTATCCAGAGTGCATCAAGTAGAACTGTGGAGCATGAAGCGTTAGAATATGTAGTGGGTTATGTAGCCAGGAGATTTGTACATAAATATCCTGATTTAGGCAATGAAACGTCAGTGTCATTGGATAGTTCATTATCAACTAGCTGGACTCAGCATATAACAAGAGGCCACTTAATTACACCATCGGATACATTAATGAGAGTTGCAAAAGTAATGAATAAGTACTTTGAGGAAATGCATGGTACCTCACTCAATAAAAATCCTAAAGTTATGGAAACATTAAAAACCAAAGTTATTTTAGAAAGTAATGATGTATTACCAGAAGAAGTGGTAAGCTGTTTAATCCGAACCAGAACTTTTGTAAGGTTCAATCATCTTAATAAAAATATTGCCGACAATGCTCCAACAGTTGGAAATAAAACTAAAATAAGAAAATTTTTGTTATGAATTTAATTGTTTTAGTACATGTGTAATATGTACATTGTTTCATTGTATACCTATTATTTTGAAATATACAAATTAAATAACAACACTATTTTATACTTTTCTTGTAGTTCTAAAGCATGCTGCAACATGAATAGTATAATTCACATAGTAATAATAATATTTTATTATTTTGCTGTAATAATTTATCTATTTAGTATACAAATTAACTATTAATTATTAATTAATTAATTTTACAAACACTATTATTTTAACTATTTTTTCATCATAAGTGATAAATTTAATTTATCTGTTATCATAATACAATATTTGATTTCGCGCCTTTTACCGAGACCGGATGACGTAGTCGTCATGCGCAGTAAGTAGTTGCTGTCATACCATGTTATTTAGCCATGTGATAAATTATTTAAAATTTAATTTAATTTTGAAACAATAACCTTTCGTCATGACGTGTGTGGTGTGTCGATTGTGCCTTTGTGGGTAGACTTGGTAATATTAATCTCAATAATCTGTATTTCACCCACCTGTGTCTGTGTGAGAACAATATTATTGTGATTTACAACATTTCTGGTTTTCACCGAGGATCAATTATCACCAATCCCGTGTTATGAAACATAATAAAATAATAAATATGTCGTAAAATAATTTTACGTCCATCTAGCACAACTGATATAATCGCTATGTCATGATCCATCTATTTATAATAGTTATATACTTATATACTTTATACTTATATCTTAATTCGTGCTCTCAAGTGAGATCGGCACTCTCAAGTCGTAGTACCTATTATCATATATAGTAGGTATATACTATAATATACTAATATTATTATAATTTATACGGTCACATTACCATTACGTCATTACGGGCTACGGCTGCGGCGACGTTAGGTGACTGGCACCCCAAAACCAAATTGCCCTTTTTCACTGATAAATGTATTAGGTACCTATTTATATACGAAAACTGTAAACAACTTGTAGTTTATATTTATACTTAACCCTCCAATCTCCATCCTCCAATCATAATCCTGGCTAGGTATGCCCCACTGGCCAATGTGTCACGGTCATAGACATATAAATTATAAACCTATATTGGCTATATTATTATTATATTAGTTTATAAGTCACGACTCACGGTGTATCATTGTGACATTGTATCAATACTATGTAAAATTTCATATAGCATATGATCTAAACTAAAGTCATGGGCGCGATTTCAGTTTTTGACTTGGAGGGGCTTTACATATTTGAATTAAACAGACCCGTGGGTGGCTAGTTGCGCCAATGTAACAAGTCATACCTATTTGTCAATTGTCATAAAAAGGTCCAGTGGCGTATTTAGGAATTTGTGATGGGGAGGGTTCAGATCATTTTCAGAACACAGAGCCTTGGGGAGCTATAAGTCTATCGTCTATGTACAATTTTTGAGTTTTTAATCATCTAATATATAAAAATGTGTTCGTACGTGTTAGTGTACGAACTCCTCCTCAACGGCTCGACCGATTCGGATAAAATTTTTTTTGTAAATTTGGTATTTACGAGAATAGGTCTTAAAGTATTTTTATTTTTTACCCTCTAAGTCCCACCCGGGGAGTTGCTCAAACGGGGATTTTGAGATTTTCTATGGCAATGTAAATACTGTGCAAAATCACTGATTATGGCATTGTAAATTTATAACCAACAAAAAAAAATCTCGATATTAATTCAAAATTTTGACAATTGAAGCGACGAAAAGTTTTTACATAATCCTTCGTATCGTAGTTTGATAAAATTCGTTTTTCTTAATCATGTAAAAACACAAGATTTAACATGTACGAGACACGAGTCAATAATGGGAGGGGGCTGGACCCCATGGACCCCCCTCGTAAATACGCCCCTGGTATAAGGTCAGAACACCAGCTATTACATGTTATTTAATTTACTTTTTATATCTCTGTTCTATCTATCTATTATACTATTAATTAATTTATAATTTTAATTAGGTACTTTATTGCAGGGGCGCCATTTGGGGGGGGGGCAGGGTGTGCACTCGCACACCCTGTAATTTTGGTGTCCACAATTGGCCTAGGCCTCATTAATACTATGGCCTTCAGTTTGCTTATCTTTAATTGTGCATGCACCGCAGCTATTCACTGATAATCATAAATTATATTATAATATTATTGTGTTCTTCAATTTATATAAAATAAAAATATAAATAAAAAAAATATAAAAATATTTGTATAAAAGTCGTTATAATAATAAACTATTATATTTC